TCACTGTAATCGCATAGGAAATCGGTTCTATCGTTATTGCTGAGTAGGAATTTTTGGAATTCATTTAGTGGGTTCAAACTACTTATTGTTACGATGTTTTCTATAGATTTTTCATCATCGTCGTTTATTTCATTAGTTTATAATTTGTTTGAATTTGTTGATTTGTACCAATTTTCTACAAAATGTATATAATTATTTTTCTCAATCTGCTTCTCTTTGTTAAATTTTGAGGTATCGATTTTGGTATTAGCATTATATTTGTTCCCCGAGTTAGATATTCCGATTTTTCTCTTAGCTCGGGTGCTATTCGTTTTTTGAAAAATTGCAATCGTTAGCATAGTGTCCTTTACCATTGCATTTGTAGCATGTTATTTTTCCTCTTCCATTAAATCCTTCCGGCGTCGTGGATCTTGAATAACTTTCTCTTGCATGTTTTCCCTACTGTGCTGTTTCCTACTTATGTCATTTTCACGATTTCTGAACTTATAACTATCTCTATTTCTGGATCTGTCGTAGGAGTTTTCCCTATTTCTTGAATCAGACCTATCTCTATTATTGCTCATTTCTCTACTGTTATTTCTATATTTATTGTTATTGTATCTATCTCTACTACTGTCTCTGAGCTTATAGTTGTCGTACCTATCGGGATAAGGACTTTTTTCCCTATAATTGTTCCTGCCTTCGTGATCTGTTCTTCCTGGATATGGACTTTTGTCTCTATTGCGTGATCTATTTTCAAAATTGACTGTCTTGTCGTATTTTTTAATATTATGCATTTCGGTACATAGTTGATCGATTTTGGTACACAGATGATCGATTTTATTTTTATGATAACTGTCTATTCCTTCTAATTTTGTATTTAATCGTTTTATTTCTTGATTGCTGTCTTTAGTTTCATTATTTAGTTGCATTACTTGTTTATTTAAGATTTCCGTGTATTCGCTGAGTCCTGAACTTCTTGAATTAATTCTAAATTGCATAAGTTCATATTTTTTTAAATTTTCTTTCAATTTTTTCAAAGTACTATTATCATGCAGTGAGATGGCATGTAATATAGGTTCCCTAATACCTTTTAGTATGTACACGCAAATATCTTCCTCTTTCATATCTTTTTGTACTTGGCTACACAGGTATTCTATTTCCGTAACAAAACTAGAAATTGACTCTAAGTCGTTCTGTTTCCTATTTTCTAATTTGTTTTTTAATATTATTGAGTATCCTATGGGTTGAAATTCGTTTATGAACTCGCTTTTTAGATTTTCCCATGACCAGTTTTCTCTTTTGTTTTCCAAATTTTGTAGAAATTTGTTAGCAGTTTCTTTCAAAAATATTGATAGAAACTTAATTTTTTCGTCGTCGTTCCAATTGTTGATCTGTGCTGCCTTTTCGTATTGTCTGATGAAAGTTTTTATGTCACCTTGTCCGGAAAAACTATCTGGTTTTACTATCATTTTTTCCATTTTGTGTTTTGGATTTTTATTTTCCAATATATTTAATTTTTCAGGTGTATTGTCTATTACGAATTTTGAGTTGCTAAAGAAGGTGGTATTTAAATCTGAATCAGTTTTTATTGGACTTATGATATCTTCGTATATGTGTTCTACTTTTGTAGATTCGTTAGGATCTAAGTTTATTAAATTATTATAACTATTATTAGGGGCTTGTACTGAATCGTTTTGATATAAATTACTAGTAAGGTTTTCAATTTTTTCTGCTTGGATTATTAATTTGTTTGCGTTTTCTTCTAAATCTTTGGATAAATTATTTAAAAGGTCGTTATTAATTGTTTTTGGTCTATTTATAGCGCTATTACTCGTTTCTGGGCTTGAATCACTTAAATTGCTCTGTGTGAGTAATTCTGTAATATCAATTCTATCTTCTATTGAATCCTTTTGAACTTTGATTTTTTGTAGATCACTTAAAGTTTCTTCGATGTCGCCTAATTCTACGATCCCCTTATAGTATCTAGATAATCTAGCCCTTAGGTTATCTACGGTTCCTACACTTTTTAATTGTTTAGATTTGCATAATTCAATAAGATCTGGTTTCTTTTGTATATAAATATCGGTTAATTTTGTAATTTTTTTTCCCAAAGCTATAAGATGTTCGTCATTCATATCATAATAAAATTTATTTTACTTAATTTGCTTAACACTTAAATAATTAATTTTTTAACAGTTTGAAACTTAAATTAAAATATTTTTGTGGTTATTTAATATTGAATAAACATTTTAAAAAAAAATCCTATTTAAATTTATAATGAAACTAATCTACAATCCTAATATTAATACGTAAGTATATCACTTAAATTAATATATTTTTGCGGTTATAATTATATCGAATAAAAATTTTGAAAAGTAAAAGAGAGAAATAGAGAGTAAAAAAATTGAACTAAAAAAAAAATATCCTATTTAAATAGTTTCTTTAAAAACTTAATCTACTTGTTTAAAACTTAAATTAAAATTTTGCGGTTATTTAAAATCGAAAAAAAAATTTTGAAAAATTATTGAACTAAAATTCTATTTAAATTGTTTTAAGAAAAATCTAATCTATAATCCTAAAATAAGTATTAAGTATATTACAAAACGTTGCTCACCTTGGCGTATACTTGTAGACGCACGGTTGCAAAAATTGTACCACGCGGCACAAAACTGCTGTCTTGTCGGTCGGACGAAAATCGAACGCGTATGTGTTACTCACTCGGTATACACACGCACAAAAATTGCGTTCTGGGTTTACACTGCACCCAAAACACAAAAGGTATATTTTACTTTAGCGGAAAAAATCACTAAACTCGCTCCGGGTTTTACTATCCGAAACGTGCACAATTGTTGTACTTCACTTGTACCAAAAAAAAAAAAAAAAATGGTGTGTCAAGGGAATCTCTCCCAGACTACACGTAAAAACTGTTGTACTTCTAGTACGTAAACACTTTCAAAAATTAAACATGGCCAAGGTTGAGGTACCAGGGCACAAAAAATCAAAAAAATGTCTCCGACCGTAGGTAAGTAACCCCGTTGGGCGCCACTCTGTGGTATCACCCGTATTGGATAATACGCGGTAAACCAACTTTATACCTTACCCTCGTACGCTCTAGGCTAATGACTGTCTCTAGAATAAATTCAGATTAGCACTGTTAACCTTTGAGGTACGATGGTAGCGTTTTGTCAGTTCTTCGTTCGTTTCCTAAATTGGAATGACTATTAGGACGCCACAACCAGAGCACTGTTCAGTTTGTAATAAACCTCATTGACTATAGGTGTGTGGGTCTGAGCACTGTTCCAATATTAAAGGTAAGAACGAAGAAGACTTTGAAATAAAACTCAACTCGGGTTTTTAGGTCGGAAACACTTTTATTATATTAAAACAAACATAAATGAAAAACTTAGCAAATCCAAATCGTCTAGCCCGTACTACGATCGACGTTTCACACGCACGACCACAGTACCTACGTTCTCGCCGATTCACTCAGCGACAACGGGACTCCCTTGCCTGCGCGTGCGGCGGTCTTATATATTAATCTTATCGCTGTCTCAGCACATATGCTTCACTGACCTATGTCAATAGTTTACAATTTAAAATGTTCCCACCTCTATTACAAATATTACAATAACATTTTGACGACTGTCTACAATATACGACAAAGTAAAGTAATAATTAACAATTTTTAATAAACATAAATAACTCTTTTGGTTTTTTTTTCTAAATAATAACTAAAATAAATGTTTAATGTAAAAAAAGTAACAATAGTAAATAGTAATACTTTATAGGTTATAGTAACAATTTTAACACTTAAGTCTTTTAGTTTCCTGTTTAGTATAAAAAAAAAAATAATAGAAAATAAAATAAAACCTTTTTTTGTTTGTAAATATAAAATAATAGATTTTTAATAATCGTCATCAGAATCAGATAGACATAAATTAAACATAATTTAAACAAAACGTGCATTCAAAGTATTCTGATTTACCTTTTTTTGTCAGTGATTTCTTAAAATATTTAGTAACAGCTTCTTTATATTTACTAGGCCGTCCCATTTTAACTTTTACTTCACACTTGTTACTTGTTAGTTGTTAGTACTTAGTAGTCTTGAGTTAAGAGTTATTAACAGTACAATGTAAATACAAGTTTGTAGTTAACGGTTGTTACAAAAAAAAAAAAAAAGATAAGGAAAACCTCTTATTTTAACCACTTAGCGAAAAAAAAGTTTTATACAGCATAAAATAATTCTATACAGCGTGTATATTATCAGTATAATACGATTTTATACATTTGTATCATACAAATTTACATCACTAATTATATCATATACAATTTGAGTAGGTGTTAAGTTTAACTTTTTTCTTTCTATCTATTTCGTTGTAATGATTAGGTACCTGTATTAAATGATTAGGCACAGTTTTGTTCAAAAAAGAATAAAAATAGATGAAAAATAGTTTGTTCATGTAACAATAGTTTTGATAAATATTACAATTATTATGTACTTTTTTTATTAGTTTATTAAATGTATCAAAAATTTAATGATTTTATATAGATATGATATTCTGTGTATATATTAAATATTTTATAATATGTTTAGTATAACAAGCTACCGCTCTACGACAGTTATATCCAGGGGTTAAAGTGGAAAAAAATTCCAGAGGGGACTAATGTCTCCATATAGTTTTAAGCGTTCGTTCCATATAAAATTTTATGTTTGTACAATTTGTTAAATGGGACGCTTTTTAACTACCGTCAGAGGTAGAGGGACTGCCCCCCCACTTTAACCCCTGGTTATATCACAAGAGTTTAGTTTTTAAATACTCAATAGTTAAATAATAATAATTAATATTATTATTACATTTTTTTCATGGTTAATTTGACAGCTCATTTTAGCAAAAATGGCACGTAATTTTGGAGAGCCATAGGCAGCATTTAAAATATCCGATGCAACCCGTATAGTAACGCGTATAAAAATTTAAGTGCAAAATATAAAGTATCAATATTTAATTAGTCATAATTTGTCGTTAGGGTTACTTACTAAATAGGTTTCTTTATATTATGTATTGAAGCTGTTCGTTAGACAGTTTATTATTATACTGTTAAATTTTGTTAGTACTATGAAACCCATATTTATATAGAAAATTAAAAAAAGCTGAAGTTGTAACTTATTTATTCACGAAGAAAAGAAACTCCATTTAAAAAATGATGACCGTTGGTAGCAAAAATTATCTTAAAATAAATTGTTTTAAACAAAAATTGACCAGTGCGAGAGTTTCAAAAAACTTTCCATGTGTATTCCTTATGATTTTAAATGGAATCAAATATTCCAATGTTGTCGTCTTATGTATGTAGCCCAATTATTCGTACCTATAAAAGATTATTATTTTTTTTTTAGTATTGTCGCTAAACAAAATTTGTTAGTGCCTTAGTGCAAGTGGTATGGTATATGTAGTTTAAAACTGTGAGATGACTAAATAATAATTAGCAGAAAAAATATTTTAAATACTTTTCAGATAGAATAATAACAATAGAAAATATAATTTTACAAAATACAAATGTACGCCTAAATAAATAAATAAATACACAATATAGACATGCATAGTACATAAAATATAATACCGTCTAAAATACAAAGTGTATTATACAATTTATACATAGTTACTAGACATTTTTTATTTTGTTCAAAACTAGAAACATAATCAAATTAAAAACAAAAGTGCATACCACACACTTACACAGTTGACTCTTCTTAACTCCTGCATAGCCGACAGTCGACACGATATAGATAATATTACAATATTTTACATATACAAGTGTAACAAATAAAATCGAATACTACTCAAGTACCTATGCCTACAGAGTGGGTACACTATAAATATAACTATAAATATAAATTAAATATGATTTATTATGTACCTATATCGTTATTGTTTTATGTTAAATATTATCTCTACAAATAACGGATAAACTATATTATATTAATACATTAAGCACATTTAAATTGGTTTTACAAATATTATGATAGGTACCGACTTTTACTCGTGACCAAATCCGTTCTGTTCTCGGTCAAACACAATAATGAAATAAATGATATAGTGAAATAATAATAACATATTATTATGATACCATTTAATATAACGAGTAGGTATTTATTCTCACACTAATGCCTAATATTATTCTCATCACGATTTTCGCAACTCATAATAATAAGTCGTCCTATTTACTCATATTCACTTTTATAAGACAAAATTCTGAATTATAAACACTGGGAATTACATTAATTCTACTCATACCTACCTAGGTACCCACTGAATTGATGTTTAATAATAATTTTAAAAATATAATACACTAGTTTCCTATAGCAGGTCATGATGCGATGAGATATGTTTCGACTTGAGAACCTATATTATTAAATACGCACTGTACTATTTGATACATTTATTTTATTATTCGCACTAATATTCGTGTTTTAGATTCATTAAAAATACAGAACAATAGAAAAAAAAATATAATTCTATCGAATTCTATGTTTCGATACACAGAATCTCAAGGGGAATAAAAAAAATATAACTCAGGTATGTATTTTTGGTTCCACGACAAAATATCCCGGTAAAAATATCTCCGACAAAATATTACAAGACAAAAATATTCCATGACAAAATATCTCGAGTAATAATTAATTCAAAATTTAAACTTCATTATAAAAGTTGCGATTAAGATTAGATTAGTACCTAATAATCGCACAACAATTACCTATCTAAATTCAGTGTCAGTTATTCGTTATTTTGTTAATAGCGTATAGTGTGTCGTTTGACGTTTTATATCATTAACTACAATTCGTGTCGTGAACTATTAGCTAATAGTCTTAAATTATATTATTTAATTAACTGTTTTATAGTTTAAAAATAAAATAATGCTAAAATTTATCCAAAGCCAAAAAGGCAATAAATTACTTATAGTTATATAATAATATAATAATACTTTATTTTGCAAAACAACATGAGACACATTATATAAATCCGTAAATTAATTAGTTGCAGCACCCCCTAAAAAGCATAGCTTGTGCTGGGGGAGCGGTTCTTATATTATATTAACTTAAAATTAATAGATAAAATAATAAATTAGTAATTGTCGATATTAAGAAGTAGCAAAGTATAGTTATGCAATATTATAAATAGAGTAAAAGATAAAATTAAGAAGAACAAAAATATATTATATTTAAAAACATAGTATTTAATACTATTTTTAAAGTTAACAAATAAATTATATAATATACAGATCAAAACATTTTACATAATTTTTGAACGACTCCAAATTATTAAAATGGCTAATATTTTGACGGCCTCGTCACTACGACTAATGTAAATTTGAAAACATTTTTCTTACATTTTGTTTTTAATTTTATGGAATATTAGGTAGGTGCGACGTACATATCTCCTATCAAACAGATATTCAAAGATATCGGAGGCGAGCAGATGTCCAAAGCTGAGTCGTCTTCTATATCCTCCAGTCGAATCTAGTTGGATATTGAACTATATAGGTACCTACTGTGCGGAGATCGCTCTGTGTAACAGGTAAGACGAAGCTGAATATAATTACAACCAGACATTAGTTTGGCACTTTGGCAACCATCGCGGTCACCAACTGGGATTCTGACCGCTTCAGACCATCAACCTCCGTAGTTCAGAGTCTATGACCCGTCGACGACGGATCTGACGGGCTTTCCACCGATTGGTATCCGACCGCTGTCCACTGGGTGCAATCGTGTACACCATTGTAAACCGGGCGAACTATACGGCGAACCAGGTCATACATTGCGTGGTGCACCACCAGGTAAACCATGCGGGCGCCAATAGGTACACCGTGTCAAACAGTGGTAACCGGGATACACTTAGCGGTGCACAGGCTTGGTGTATACCTCGGTAGCATGGTTTTGCCACTACAATGTGTGAGTCGATCAGTACCGTTGCCGCTGGCGTAAAATCGGTTACCGACCGGTATCTGATCGCTATCTACTAAGTGCGAGGTAACCGTGTACACCATTTGTATATACCGGGGTACATGACTATGGCGAACCTGGTTATGCGTTGCGTGGTGCACTACCACGTTGACATTGCGGACGCCCCACAGTGGGAGTAATCAAACTTTTAGCAGGTCAAAATTAGTAAATTTTAGTAATCAGTAATCAGCGTAATCAGCGTAATCAACGTAATCAGCGACTATAAACTTCAATATTTGTTGCCATTTATCTTAAGATAACAAATATACTGCAATATGCGATAATCATTAACTAATGAGCCGATAAATGTAGGTATGGTTCATAAAGACTTATGAATTTCATTCTACCACATGGTAGTATATTATACTTAACAGTTTTTCGATATTTTATATGAACACAAGTAGTTGTGTAGTTATCTAAATCAAAAATGGATCAACATATAGTACCAAGTAAGTGTATTAATTCGTATTTATATAATTAATTAAAATAATAAGAATATATATCATACAATTAAAGAAATTATACTTTCATTGTAAATAATTGAGTATAAGAATTAACAAGCTCACCGTTTATAATGTAATAATTTTTTAATCGTTTACTCACACACTTTAATTGTTCATAATTGTTGTCATTAGTCGAAACTTAAGTATAATAATTTTAAATTCATTATTTTTTTTTTTACCATACATTTTGTAAAATGTCTCTTCTTAATCATGAATACTCTTCTTAGACATGACGTGATTATAGACACAACCATGAGCTGTGTTAGAAAATGAGGTCCAAGAAGCAAAACATACCAGATTCCTAATCCAAATTATTTACAATCGGCCATTTGGTGCTTAAAGACACGTCAAATGACTTACAGAGAAAGGCTTTGTGTATGGGTTTGTTGAAGATATTTGTGAATTTGATAGATCCCAAATTATTGGAAAAATGCAAAAATCAGTACCATATTCCAGAGGGCTTTTCAAGTTCACATATAACTGTAACTCCATCTAGTCTTCTAACCATTTACTTATAAAAATTAATAGTTGAACTTATTAACTAATTAATTACCGTATAATATACAAAAAGTAAATCCAAAGACTAGAAATTAATAGACTAAAATGTTAATTTTATTTTTATTTTTTATTTATTCATATGATATATTTATATGTATACATTTTGTTACATTTACCAATGTTAATTATAAGAGTTATAGTTTATGTTTGTAACATAATATTATAAAATAAGTTAATCTAAAGACTGGAAAGTAAAAGACTAAAATGTTATGACAAGGTGTTATTTTTATTTTGTTTTCTTATTATTTATTGATACAGTTGATAAATTTTGTTGTATTTTATTAATAAAAAAAAAAGTTTAATAGTAAAAGTTGAGTTCAATTTTTTAAAAATATCAATAATTGTTTCTATTCAACACCCTGTTGCTATAATAGAAAAATGTATTTAAAAGTCATAAATATTTCTATTGCCACCAACTGTCGGGTCAATAGAAACAGAGCAAATCCAACACCTTCGTCTACACGCTATTGTAGACCAATACAATTTATGTATAATAAAGAGATGGTAGAAATAACATACAATGAAGTAGAAAAAGTGGAAAAAGAAATTTCAGAACTAAAACCCCTCAAATTAAATATAAATAATAATGTTGTGTCTATTAATTATACAATGGTAATGTCGATTATTGATGGCAAAGTAATAAACACTTTAATTGGATCTTCAAGCCAATAGTTTGTTTTATTTGTAAATACAACCCTACAAATATGAACAATTTAGACCAAATACACAAATTTAAAATCAATGAAAATAATTTTAAGTACGGTTTATCCACATTGCATGCCTGGATACAATTTTTAGAGTGCACTTTACAAATTGCATATAAATTGGAATCGGCTCCAACAACTAAAAGAACAACTGCTGTACAAAAAAATTTAATTTCAGAAAAAAAGAAAGAAATACAATCTCGTCTTTGGGAAGAATCAAGAATTAGGTTTAAAAGTTGACAGAGGGGTTCAGGGTATGGGTACATCAAATACGGGGAATGTTGCTCGAAGATTTTTTAAAAATTCCAGGATTTGATGTTCGTTCAATCCATAAATTTTCAATAATAAAAACAGTGATTTCTAGTGGTCATGAAATAAATTACGAAAAATTTGATGAGTATGCTAGAGAAACAGCTTAACTTTATGTAAAGTTATATAATTGGTACCGTATGCTTCCAAGCGTACACAAAATTTTGATACATGGCTCTTTATAGCAATCAAAATATATGCCCTATTGGACAGTTATCTGAGGAAGCTCAAGAGGCACGGAACAAAGACTATATACGAATGCGAGAACATCATTCAAGAAAATCGTCACGCTTTAACACAAATACAGATTTATTTAACTTTCTTTTGATAACATCTGACCAAATTTATAACAGGATTAAGGCCTCAGAGTAAAGTATCATCAACTGAATTATCTCCAGAAGCAATACATTTATTGATTATTTAAAACTCCAAAGATAAAGAGTTTAACGAAGAGGAAGCTGAAAGTAGTTGTGATGATTAGACTTAATTTTAAAATGTATTACTTAAATATAATATTGAATAGTTTTTTTAAGATTTGTTTTGTATTAACTTAAAAAATGTATTCTAAAAATAATAAATTGTACACACTAAATATTATTGTTTTAAAATATTTTATATTTTTGGCCGGCTGCTAGAACTCGTATTCCTCACACTAGGGCGTCCCACGGCGCGCCCCAATAGGTACACCGCGTTAAACAGAGGTACACCAGGGCAATACTACGCTACATGGTGCACCGTTGTAGTACGTATATACCTTGGTAGCACGATTATACCGCCCCGGTGAGATACGTCTGGTGATAATTCGGTGTGTATAGTCCGTCTGAAAAGTCGTCATATGCGAGTCAATAGAATACTCTGACACGCGTTGATGCGCTTGTATGTCAAGAATAACAGTTCCCGCCGCGGTGGTGGCCATAGTCGCCTGCCCTTGGCTGTTATACTAATTATAGTCCGCTTCGTCTTAGGTCCGCCGAAAAGATATTTAAGATTCTCATTTCAAACCAACGACTCAGCAACATATCTGGTGAAGTAACAAATGAAACCAGCTGTTTGTACAAATTTGTGAGTACCTACCTTAGTATCTTATATACTATTATGTTTTGTAAATTTTTGCGAAAAGTCTCGATTCGTACCTACGTGTATTTATTATTCAATGGCAGATACTGAAAAAATCCAAAAAGAAATTATTGAAAACCACTGCACAACAAATAAAACAGCTTATTGCTGATTAGCTATGCTATATACAGATTATAATAACGTCATTATATGCATACAGGGCTGGTTGTAAGTTGGGGGGGGGAATAGGAAATTTACCTTGGTGGCAGAAAAATTAACAAAAAATTAAATTTTGTTTGTAAAGGAAACATCAGTCTGAAAAATTATGTGCTGAATAATTAACAGTGATATTTACAACTATTATTTAGTTTAAAATTGTAATATTATTCGTGTTATCTTATGTAAGTGTTACAACAATTGTGAAGTAATTTTTTCAGGAGATTATTGCGGTTGAAATGCATTTTTTTGGCCATTTTTTTAGGTAGTATTTAGGGCATTTAAATCCAGGCCCTAATTATAATGTATAATTATCAGAAGTTAGTGCAAATGCCAATTTAATATTGTACCTTTGTACTGAAATAACTTTAAAATTAGTATTCGAAAAAAATATTAAGTGGTTAATTTTGTTGGTAAGTATTATGTATTTAGGTATATTTGGAAATTAAATGGCCGGACATCATATTGAAAACAGTATCAGACACAATTGAAGAAAGAACAGTGCAATGCAGTATGCCCATAACGACTACGTCAAGCACTTCACTAAGTATACAACTGCTGAATCGTCATTTTAATCTAAACGGTTATTGAGAATTGTGTTTTATATTATTCGATTTTGCAGGAACTGTAGACCCAAAGCCAACCAGACTGTTGGAAGCTGTGCTGTGAGTGAAAGGCGCCAATCAATGGAGTACTGGATACGTATAGTGCAAGGAGCAGAATTCATCATGGAACTAACATCCCTGACGCGACAATAGAATGTAAGGATTTACTTAAAACTCGCTGGTTTGAATCATTATTAAGAGATTTAAATTTAGTTTATACTAATGACCCGTTTTTTCATTCTATTGTGCCGTAACTAATGTACTAGTGCTATATTATGTTCTACTTGGTCACACGTTTGTGTCAAGTCCCTAACTCTAGGAAATTTCAAGTTAGGTGGGACTGGAGGAATACTTCTTTTTGTTTTGTTACTTTTTTTTTTGGGGGGGGGGAGGGCTTAACACTAATTATCACTTACTACGCACACATTTACAAGACCCGCATGCATGCAATTTGAAAGTTACCTAATACGAATTCCTTAAAAACTATCCACCACGGTTACCTACTAACCACAATCTCTGCAGTGCCGCGTTTAGACATTTTTCGCCCCAATTTAAAAAAAAAACTTTGCACCCCCGTAAGGGGCCTAACCATGGGAAATATGGGTGATAGATCCTCATAAACTTTTTAGATTTAAAGCAAAAGGAAATAATATTTAATAAATAAATAAAATACCTATTGTTTAATAATTTCATTAACCCCCTTATAAATAATTGTAATTAATTGTTTTTTATAAATTGTATTTATTAATCGTTATTATAAATCATAAGTACCTTATAGTACCTACTATTTACTAACCTACCACCTATATGAGGTAGTTATCACATGAGCTATTGAGCTCGTTTCTTTGTATCCAAATACTGTTACAAATAACAGTTCAAGGAATACTCAAGAGATTCGGTATACTACATTATTACATTACAATTAATGGTAATATGCATAATGCGTTAAAAGGCCAGGATTTATATGAGTTTTACTATTGTCTATGTTTACTGTTCAATCGTCATATTAAAATTATATCATGTATAAAGAATGCTAATATAAATATTTGGAGAAAATGGCAAGGACTAAATACCTAAATATGAAAAACTGATATTGAATAAAGATTCTCGTTTTTGTAAATTTTTTTTTTAGTATATCCCAATAGCTAAAAAGATTACTTGGGATTTTTAATTTTGACCTCTGAAATGAACCAACCATAGATTCACTTTCCTGCCAAAAAATATTTTAAAAATAAAAATAAAAAATTTTTTTTTTTTTTTTTTCATAAATCATGTACACAAAACAAAATAAAATATATAATAAAATCAGTATATTCAATGATCCACGTATAAAAATATGCTCTTAAAATCAAAAATATGACCTTAAACCTCAAAAAATTTCAAAATATGCATGAAAGTTGTTACTCTAGGCTCTAGCTATTAATTATAATAAATACATACCCATTCGACGGAGGTTTGTTCTGTGTTTGTTGTTGTTGCCCGTACCGAGTAGACGATGGCTGTTGCTGTTGTGGAGACCGATACTGCTGTTCAAACCGCATGGACGGCGGCATTGGCTGTTGCTGTTCGATGCGTGTGTTCAACGGCATATACGCTTCGTACCGCATCGGCTTTTGTGGCAGTTCGTACCGCATGTGCTTCTGCTGTGCCATCGGCTTGCTGCGCTCGTCGTACCGCATCGTCGGCGGCTGCTGATCGTAGTAAGGTTTCAGATCGACATCGATGATCGTGAACCTTGGTGGCGGCGCGAGTGGTGGTGAGCCGTTACTGCTGCCGATCGCCCCTTACCGCCACTTCCGGATAATTGTCGTTGTTGTATAAGTTGTTATTTCCGCCACCACCACTACCACTACCACCTCTGTAGGGCTTTTGCAATGGCACTTCGACTAGATCCTTGTCCCACGATGAGCCCCTGTTGTCCCACGACGATCCCCTGTTGTCCCACGAGCTGCCACCGTCCCCGCCGAGAGGCTCTCTGTCCCACGAGCCGCCGCCTCTGTTGAGTGGCTCCCTGTCCCACGACCCACTTCCCCTGGTGAGCGGTTCCCTGTCCCAAGAGAACGACGGTGAACCTATGTTGTTGTTGTTGAACGAAGCCCGGTCCTTGTCCCACGACGACCAGCTCTTGTAGAATGGTTCGGCCCACGACGCGAACTTGGACGTTAGTTCGTTGGGCCGGTAATACGAGTCGCGGAACTCGGTTCTGTTCATCATATCTGCTATTGTACACGGCCGTCGACTTAGATGTAACCGACGTGACGCCGGTGCCACCGCCGCCGATACCGACACCAACGCCCCCCTGCACATCACCACCACGGTTGTAGGCGTTTTCGTAGGACGTCAATCGGCTGCGCTGCAAGCTATCTGGCGGCAATTTCCTACGAATAAAACGGCATATATAGTGTCAACAGACTGCAAAGGTGATATTTTTCAAATAATATAATATATCTATCTAATTACACGTTTGTTATATAAGTAGACAATTTTTGCTCGAGTAGATATGCCACTCTGATCTGTGTATATAGGTGGGAAATCTTGTATAGTGCTCGAGATAAAATTATTTAAATTTCTGGACCATATTGCGTAATGCGTATAATGTATATGGTATATATATATTTAGGGTAATATACCTACTCGTTTTGTGGTACATTGTACCCAACACAAATTCAAATAACTTTACTTAGAAAACAGATAACCTTAACACAATATTAACAATTTATACACTTACGCCAAATGAAACTGTGTAAAATTGCGTAGGCAATAGGGCTTCATTTGGCCAAATGGGGCCCTAATATCTAGAGGTAATTTCTGTCTGTTAAAGACGAAAAAAAAAATTTTACCAGAAAACTAAGTAACTTTTTTATAAGAAATACGGGCCTGTTTGTTTATTTTGCATCTGGATAAAGTTTTTATATTTACACTTACTATTTTAAATGTTCTAGGTATTTAAATAAAATTAATGTACCTACGACATGAAAATGATAAAAAACTAGATTCAATTAATTTATATAAAAAAAAGTCGAGCGTGTAACAAGTACGCGGGGATGAAGTGAAACTTCTTTCAGTCATGCAACTGATATGAGGTATTTGAATAAAATAAAAAAAATACACTTTACAATTTTATATTTAATAGAACTGTTTTTTTTTATTATTATTTATTTTTAACTAATGATACAATGGGCTTATGATAGCTGAAATAAGTTATGTACGTTTTTGATTGTACATTATTAAGATATCGTGTGAAAATAGCATCTATTGTGGTTCCTGACCGCGTTGTTGGAATTTTTGGATCATTATTCATTGATAAATTGAGATGTACACCACTAACGCTATTTTGCGATTTTTTTTCATTTTGTCGATTTCTGTATTGTCGCGCACGTTCTGCATCAGATACTGGACTTGGTGATAACGTTGATATAGCATCCGGGTTATTTTGTAATATATCTTCACATTTCCGAATACGATACTGGCGTGCACGTTCTGCATCTGACATAGGTCCAGGTGACGACATTAATAAACCACTAACGCTATTTTGCGATTTTTTTTCCTTTTGTCGATTTCGGTATTGTCGTGCACGTTCTGCATCAGATACAGTCAGATGAACTTCAGCTTGAACGACTACTCGGTTACTTTGACTAGGTTCTTTCGTAATGCATGTACCAGAAGCTTCGTCAGCAATGTTGCCAATTGAATCTGTAGTTTTAAATTTTTTTTTCGGTAACTTGATCTTAACAGTTAACACCATCTTTTGGCATGTTTGATTTAGCTAAGTTTTTAGCTAAGTTAATAAATATAAAAATAATTAATATTTTAATAATATAATAATATAATAGACTACCGGGTGTTAATAAATTACTATTACATTATATAAGCAGTTGCATTTTAATAGCACATTAAGCCGATATGGCTGACTAGTTAAATGTACAATATTTTTTTGTTTTAATAATTCACAAATATAATACCGATAAAACATACAGAAACAGAATTTATATATAAGTAGTTAATAATATAATAATTATGTAAAATGTAATAGTACTCACACAACGTAGAACGACAAACTGCTGGGAAGAGTTGAAGGCTACTAAAATAAAACAAACCACTGGCCAAGGGTTGACAACGTAATAGTCTATTGACCAAACTTTAAGTTAAATAAAATGACAATCTTTTTTGTTGTAATAATAATTCACAAATATAATACCGATAACATAGATAACATAGATAATATAGAAACACAAAATTTATATATTATATAAAAAAATCTAATTAATATAATTAGTTGTTATTACATAGGTACTACAAAAATAATAAACTACGTTTCTATGTTACCGGTTAACCGATGCACAGCTGGTCCGTGACGGCGGCTCGTGACGGCTGCTCGTGACGGCCGACCGTGCCCGACCGTTGTTTATTTTTTTTGTACCCTCTGTAAAGAAGTTTCACTTCAAAAAAAAATATATAATATTATATGGTAGTTAACTTTTTTGGTATTATCAAGCTATAGACAATGCAGATTAAAAACCGAAAATTATATTAATTTTTGAATTGTTAATTTGTTCACTGTCATTCATTTATATCATAATTGAATTACATCTCCATGTAATAATAAATGGCATATTTTATTACAATTATCAACAGTTAAAGAATATAATAATATGTGAAATAATTTTTATTTAATTTTTTCCTTTTTGGGATATCAGACATTCAGACGTATGTGTACCTTGACGTCGATATCAGTTTTAGCTAGAGTCATATTTTTGAAACACTATAGTTGTACTATAGTGAACCAGTCTGGTCTACGACGTCTATATATTATCTTCGGCTATGAAAATAACGTTCAGTGCATACCTAAAATATTGCGTTTTTTTTTACTTATCGATCAATAATTCGCCTCATCAACAAAATATGTTACTACCTAGTGTATATGCAGTGTGTGTGTGTGTTTTTTTTATTTCAATTTTTATTTGCCTATTATATGTTAAATGTATATTAAAATATTAGTTTATAGAGTTCTGAATGTTTTAACTAATCGCATTGTGTACACAACATGAATCATCGTCATAATTCACAGCGTGTGCGGATTCGATCGTCAGACCACTTGTGGATCGATGGACGGGTTAGCGCAGTACCTAATTTTACGTAAACTGCACAATGTGATGTACTATGGTGTTTTTTCAACAACATCGAAAACAATAGTTTTTATTATTATTATTTTAGACTCTTAGCGGGGCGATGAATTTATTGATATTACAATGATGTGTGCAATGTGCATATATGGTGCATGACAATATATCTTGCACTTATACTTTGACGAGGACAGAACTTTCAATATAATATTTTTTTGGGGTTTGGTATCCAAAATGTTATTGGTTAATATTCTTCATAGGTCCCACATGACCACGATCATGTTCATCAATCATTTTTCTGTTGTAATAAATAAAATCATACGTATATAGTATATACCGTTTAATACAAAAAATATAAAAATAACATTTTACTGTATAAAAAATATAATTTTATTACTGGATAATTTATAGTTAATATAACAATTTTATTATATAAATTATAATAATAATTTGAATACAGTAATAAATAATATCAAGTATAAAAATAATATCATTTTTAAACACCGTGGTTTATAATTTTGAAAAAAAATAAACAAAAAACATTAGAGGTGTGAGATAAATGATAATTCAATAATATTATAAATGATATATAATTAACGAGTGCTTTAAAATTTTGAAACATTGATGCCGAAAATAATTAATAAGTAATATAAAGAAAAATAGGAAAAATGCTCGCAATGTGGCAAAAAAACAGGAACAATAATATTAACAACAAAAAAAGGTGCTCAACGTGGCAAAAAAACTGGAATAATAATATTAAAAAAAAAATGAAAATGTACTCAATGTGGCAGAATAAATTTCAGTAAACAGTGATATTAACACAAATTAAAAGGTGCTCAAAGTGGCAAAAAACTCGAATAATAATATTAACAATAATTGAAATGTAAAAAAATATAAAAGGTGCAAAAAAAAAAAAGACATCAGTCAAGCCGAGGCGAAGTGGGGGTACGTGATGGCGAGTGGGTGGTGCAGAAGATGGTCACCTCCACAACGTTCTTGCGGCCGGTCCTGCGGGGGGACAAGAGTCGCGGGCGCGTTTCCTCGAGGAAGCGAAGACGACTACGGAAGCGGGCGGAACTCGACCACGACGGCTGCGAGAGCGACGATGACGGTCGGCGACGGTTGGCTAGTGCGCGATGACGTGCGCTATAGATATTGTGCTGCAGGTGCCGAAGACGACTGTGGCTACGGCGAAAACGGTCACCAAAGAGGCTCGTCGGAGCGAGCGACGAAGACCAAAATATTATTATTATACGGTCCCTAGCCACCGTACGATAATAATAATTAAAGTCGTCCGTCACTCGCCCGACTTGCGCTCTGCGGTTTCCGTCGACACCGTCGCGAGTCGTCTTCGCGGTGCAACGCTGCAGCAGTCGTACCGTAAGTGCAGGTACCACCGGTACAGCTAGCCAGCTCGTCGTGTCGTCGTCGTCGTCACTCTCGGACCGAAGCGGCCGGGGCTTCCACAGGGTCTCCGGACGTCCACGATCCCGTGTCCCTGCCGCCGGTGGCCGGAGAACATGTGTGGGTAACTTTCTGCCGATCAACCCGGAAGTGCACTTTCACGTACGTACCTCATATACCTCGATCCCCACATCGCTTCGCCTTGACTGCTGCCCTCGACCGAGGTGTCGGGTTCGGAGGACGCTTTTCAGCAACCCAGGCAAATTACTGCACGTCCGGCCCGTTTCACTCCTCTCCACGCGGCGGCCGCCAATCGCCTCACCCGCCCGCGTGAAGACACTGCAGCTTGTGTTGCCGGTTCGTCGATCTTCGCCCCACTCTTCGCCGACCTTCTGCAGTCGGTCTCGGCCGGCCGCATCCCGGTGCAGTCCACCTCTTCGTTTCCGGTCTTCGCATGGTCGCTGAGGTCCAGAAGTGCAGCCCGTCCACGCTGCGGTTCGGACTGTCCGCAAGACTGCACTTCCGAAATCTCCTGGTCTTGGCCGATGACAGCCGCGCTGACCATCGACACGACGTAGTCGCTCAAATCAGCTCCATCGAACTCCTTCTCTCCGTCGTAAATGACTCTGGTTTCGGTTTCTGTAGAGTATAGTTGTTCAATTTTTGTCATTAGAGCTGCCACAACGT